TGTTGTTGCTGTTGTTACTGCTGTTGTAGCTGTTGTTGTTGTTATTTATGTTGCTGTTATTGTTCACGTTGTTGTTACATAGATGATATTACACACACTCACACACACGCACACACGCACGCGCGCACACACACACGCGCACACACACACACATATTAATATATCACAACTTATTCGGCATTAGTTAACTTTTCCTAACATGCTGTGATTTTCATCAATAATTATATTTCTGACAGTCTTAATCCAACATTTATGTATATATCAATATAACAAACACACACACACACACATATATATATATATATATAATAAAACAACACAACCACACATATAAATACACACACATACAAACACACACACATACACACGTTCGTGCTCAAAATCCTCTGTACAAGGCCCACAAAACATGGTCGTTAAGTTTGAACGCAAATGATAATAACATCAATAATAAAAATAATGATGATAATAATAATAAAAAAAAAATAATTATAATAATTATAATAAAGATAATAATTATAATAACAATAACTATAGCATCGCTATCTATAAATGGCATTAAAAGAATTATCCTTTACCCTAATTGATTGATTGATTGAATCAATAATCAAAACACGCATAATGGCATCATTATCACCAACGTCGTCGTCGTCGTCATCATCACCATCATCGTCATCATAATCATCACCACCACCATCATCACCACCACCATCATCATGATTATTACCGTTATCATAACCCATGATCATCACTTCATCACCACATAAAAGTATATCGAGATCACGTGATATTTGCCAGATGATAATATGCTTATCCGTCTGTAAGACACACACACACGCACGCACACGCACACACAAAAACACACGCACACACATACGCATACAGACACACGCGCACAGACTCGCGCAGACACAACCAACAAACACAGATAAATGTATGTATAAAAAGAGGGAGAAAAAGAGAAAGAGAGAGAGAGAGAAAGAGAGAGAGAGAGAGAGAGAGAGAGAAAGAAAGAAAAAAAAAACTAAGTTGAAATGCAGAATTCTCCGCTTGTTGATCAGTTATAATTATTTTTACTCAATAATTGCCTTTGTATGCTATTATAATCACTAAAATGTAATTAATAATGTAGCTAGTTTTAGATAATTATTAATTAATTAATTAAATTAATTAATTTAACTAGCAATTAGAATTTTCACCACGACCGCAGCGTTAAAACTGTACTGAAAATGATAATTAACTATATTGGGCTATGAGCAATCTGTGTTATTATATTTATTTGTATGTGTGTGTGTGTGTGTGTGTGTGTGTGTGTGTGTGTGTGTGTGTTGGTATATGTGTATGTATGTTTGATTGTATGTGTATTTGTGCGTGTTTGAATAATGTGTACTTATATGTGCGGATATTAATATGTACGTACATAGGACAAGAGACTTACAATATGGTACATACTGTAGTTTGTAACATTCAATGATACCACAATTACCAAAGATATAGTATCTATTTTCTATATCTATGGTAGTTGAAAATTTTTTAAAGCATGGTATAGCGCTTGTAAATGAGAACCACAGAACAAATGGCGCTATACAAATGAAAATATTCATTTTAAAAAGTCAAAATTTTTAATTTTATTATAATTGTGGTATCCGGACAGACCAAGACATTGTTACCAGCAATACACTCATTCATTTAGTTTACAATAAATGTATTAGCAGCAGCAGAAGTAGCAGTAATAGTAATAGCAGTAGTAATAGTATTAGCAGTAGCAGAAGTAGTAGTATGAGTTGTAGCTGTTGTTGTTGTTGGAATAATTACTATTAAAATTATTTTAGTCACAAAACTACTATTATTATTATTATTATTTTATTATCAATATTATCTTTCTATTTCTATAATTTCGCTAAAATGAAGATCGATATATTTTACTTCTTCGATCAAAAGATGGCCCCTCTCAAGTGTTTGTACAGATGAAACGGATTTTTAAAAACTATTAAAATTAGAAGAGAGTAAGTGAGAGAGAAAGAGAGGAAAAGAAAATATCTGAGAAAAAAGTGAGGGAGAGAGAAAGAGAGCGAGAGAGAGAAAGAGAGAGAGAAACTGGAATATAGAAATTTAGGAAAAAAAATAGAATGAGAAAGAGTGAAAACAAGAAATTGAAAGAAAGAAACATAGAGAAAAATAGAAATAGAAAGAAAGAGAGTGAGAGAGAGGCTGACAAAAAAAAGAGAGAAAAAAATGTAAAAAGTCGCCTAAAGATCAAAGTTTAAAGTGACTAGTACAATTGATCTTTTTATAAGCCCTTAGACAGTTAATTCAAGCTAAATTATTTCTGCCCTCATTATCATAATAACTTCATCGTAATCATCATCAGCATCATTATCAAAACTTCATTTTATCATCATCATCATCATCATCCTTGCCAAAACATCTTTACCATCGTCATCAACGTCAGTCATTAAAATCCTCTACAATTTCTTCAATTTTTCGTTCGTTCGTTCATTCATTCATTCATTTAGTCAGTCAGTCAGTTAGTCAGTCAGTCAATCAACCAACCGTTCTTTCATTCATTCATACATTCATTCATTTATTCATTCATCTTCTAAATAAC